AGAATCACATTACTGTTATACTTAGTAGTAGTAGAATTATATGCACACATATCCACGAGTATTGGTAAACAAATAACAAGAACAATTAGCTCAGTAATTTACTTAGTAAATGTTATTTTAAACTAATTTGCTTTTAAATGTTTATTTTTAAATTATTTATAAAATAATTATATACAACGCGTAGGAGAGAGAGTAAAAAGATAGAGAGAGAGGGAGCGAGAGAAAGAGGAGGAGAGAATGATCATTTATAACTATGTAGAGAGGATGGTAATATAACTCAAAGGCTAATTTTGTTTAACAGAAAAAATTAATACATTTTTTTTTAAAAAAGTGTTAAAAAACATGAGATTGATGTAGGATCCAAACTTATAATTTCTAGAAATATAGATGTGATGAATCTGCATTGTCCTCTACTGACAGGTATAGGAGGCCATCCCTGCCTGGGAAGAAGATTGCAGACAGAGGTAGAGGGAGAAGAATGAATAGGCAAAGGGACCCACTGCTTGGGAGGAGGCATTGTCAGAAGGGCCTGGACATTGAGACTAGCCAAGCTAGAAGATCTATATGACCCCATTCTCATCGATGATCCTTTTTTGAGGGTGGAGACCAACATCTCTGGTGCATCCTGGGTGTTGGTAGGCCCAGCGAAAATTTTGCAATTATAACACAACTTGCTAAATTCAGAGACAAAATCTCAAGAGTGTAGCTATTTTGTACATGAAGAATGATCTTCAAATTTACATGGATCACCATAAAGCACAATTCGCACGAGGAATGCTGCAGGGATTTGTCACTTGCACATTTATTTTAGTTCTTGGGCATAAAAAGCTCTTTTGCTGATGGCCAATTCAATACTCCTCATAGAGGAGCACTGGGGACTGATGCACATGCGCAGCTGAACATACAACCAAATACTTCACAAAGAAAACATGAAATATGTGCATTCCTATGAGCTGTGTTTGTCTATTGTCTGTTTCTACAAAACTGCAATGTTTTTCATTGAAGGGTTATAACTACAGGTCCACTGCACCTAGACTAGTTCATTGAGATGAAGTCAACGGTGAGACGTTAGTTGTCCTTTCATAGAATCTCAGCAGTGTCAAAACTGGCCATTTATGGACTAGTAAAACTAGAAGGTCTAACAACATGTTTGAATTATTAAGTCATCTGATCTCCAAGTCAAGGAATGGACAAAGAGAGGGGAATACAAAACTACAGTCAATCTTGAGTTGATACATTTCATAATTAATTATATATTTAGTGTATGCGACATTAATTATTGGATTGTATTAATTTGTTTCCACTTTTCCCCAAATCATGTTGATTACATTACTCATAACACATTATATCCAAGAATAGTTTAAATTCATGCTGAGCTGTACAAATACAATATATTTAGGCCGTTTTAATTTTATATTGAGAGTACTGTTAATGGTAGCAGTTTTTTTTTTATGGGGAAGTACAAAATAAATTGAAAGTTAATTTCAAATTTTATGCCAACATAGCTGACCTGAAAATGAAGCTGACATTTTGGCAATGGTGGCCTAAAATTTAAAATTCACTTTAAATTACTAATGATTCACACGAGAATTATCCTGTATTTTGTGAATCAAAATTTACAGCAGGTCGCTTTCCAATGTCACTACATCCTGCATGTTAAAATCCAGCATGCGATTTACTACAACCACTATTTCAGCCTTGGGTAAGTTTATTACTATTTAAAATCTTTATATGTTGAACAGGAATAAAAATGACACTTTACCTTCAAACACAGTTTCTATCTTTATAGTCCCTTCTGACCAAACTACAGACAATTTGCATATTTTAAATAATATATAATCAAATAATTAACACACTAGAGCTTCATTAATGCTTAACCTCACAGACATATGAAATGTGGAGGAAAGAAAATATTCCCCAAATTAGCACTTTTTGATACACTTTAAATTTTTTATGCTATTCAAATTTAATTCAACTTTTTAAAATTTGTATTGCAATTAAAATTACAAATTATAAATATACCAATGTCTCATACTGAGCAACAATTTGAATTCGATTTTTTTTCATAATTAGCATCAAAGATTTTAATGAATGTAGGTAATCAATCATGACAAGAGATTAACAGATTTAAATTAAAATGTGATAATGTGTATCAAATATTGAGCAAGAAATCTGTATGAAATAATTAATTTACCATAAAGGAAATTGTTAAATTCCCTAAATAGGAAGACAATTTAAAAAAAAACAAAAAAACTAGTTTTTATCCTTGCTGCTTTTGTAATCTAATGAGTTATTAATAACCATGTGCCTCTACATTACGATACCCTATTTTCGCCTCAATCTAAATGCACAAACAATGCCTGTCTTACAGTTAATTCTACATACCACTCGCCTATCTGACTACACAGGACAAGATTGCATTTGGTAGAAGTTATACTTGGAAATTAATTTCATGCTAAACTGCAATTTGGCCGTATTTGGGCTAATCTCCTGATTGGTTTATGATTTTGACTATGAATTAGGGAATTTAAGCAAACGAAAGACTCAGTGGCCAAGCATGCTCATTTTGACTTGTGATTCTAAATTCCACCCATGACGCCAACAAAAGAGATGGTTGTAGTCTAGTGGACAGTCATTAAACGATGATTTAATTCCCAGATCAAGCAAGATGTGAGGCAATAGGGAGGGCCATAAAACAAATATGAATATATTTTTCAGTACACCGATTGGCCCATTTTTGCATCGTTTTGGTTAGTCTGATTAGTTTTCCAAATGGGTTTTTTGTTACCAAAATGTTACGGAGCAGAGCCACCATATGTCCAAAATTTGACCAGCCCAAGAAATTGTTTTAGGGAAAAAAATATTCTGCCAAGACGGATTTTCTCACTGTTCACAAGTTTAGTGGCATACAGAAAAGGCTAAGCCACAGTATATGGCAGTAAATCTCAAACACTTTGTAGTTTATTATGGTACTCAAAGTTATTTTTCCATACTGACACTAAACAATTTGTAACTGTTAGAAGCAGGAGTAAAAGGCTGAGCAACAATAAATTACATTAATTTACAAAAAGTTACATGAATAAAGGCTGAGCAACAATACATTACATTGTGAGATCAGGAAATACAACCCAGCAGTTATTTTTTTTTATTTATTTGTTTGTTTGTATTTAGCTTCAAAGTTCCCAGTTTAGTGAAAAGTCTGAATAAATTGGGAATTTTATTGGACTACAAGGCAAATGCAAATAGCAGAGCTTGAAAATTGCTGATGATTTATTTCAATTCTGGACAGTTCTGGCTTGAGGTTTGCCGGTGTAATACCTGAATATGTTTTTTTTTTTTTTAACACAAATTTTCTGTTTTTATTTTAGAATATATACTGTAGATGGCCATCCTGTTTTAGACTTGTAGATCAATTAAATATATTACTAATGTACACCTAAAAGAAAGAGTATGTCACAATTTACATGTCTATAAACTGTACAGTATAAAAACCATGTCAATGAAGGCTTTGCAGGAGCAAAACAAACAAAATAAGCTGTACTCCTTACAGGTGTATTTATGTTAAAATATAATTTGTGCTACAAAACTATATATATATATATATTTATATCTTTGACCAAATATATATGACATTTTCTCAATGAGTTTATCAGAAAATACATTGTGATTGCTGTATCACCTGACGCGTGATTTGCCGAAGTAAACAGGCACACACAGTCGCTCCAGCGTGCAGCTGAAAAGCAGTTATGCGTGAAAAATATATTAGTGCCAAACATCCCATTATATCAAATTAGAATCTTAGTGCATCTGTGCCATTATGACAGTAATTCACTTTACGTATAAAATCTCCTAACTGCATGAACACGTTGAATGCAGATCATTCCATCAGCCAGTAGAGGGCAGCGATACAAAACACCTTAGGTACAAGCAATGTACCAAAAAGATAATAAACACTGTATTAAGTATCCTATAACAGCAAAATAAATATTCAAGAAAACAAAAAGCATTGCAAACTCCTAAACTGTATTACCTTAAAGGTTATGCAATGCGTTCCGCCACTCTTAAAGTACAGATCTTAAGCACAATTCAGCCGTTACGTAATGCCGGACTATAAAGTCAGTGTTTTGCATGGTGTAATAATATAGTGATTTAGGATTTATGGTTCTATAGTGCTGTGTGTGCAAGAATTTTCTGTTTGATAAATGCAAGCAATAATTCCCTCTGTTTTCAATTTTACTAAAAGCAGCATTATGAGTATTTTTTATTGCACACCTCCATTTTGTAAATATCAAATCACTGATATACACCACATCATAACCATTACAGCAAGAACGTGGGTTTATGTTTTTGATGAAATACCTGCGTCTATTCTCACTGCTCCCGAGCCAAGAAGAGTTGCTTAGTAGCATTTATATTTCAGCACTGCAGTAAAAGACAGCACTGTGCAAATAGACTGGGTTGTGGATTTCTCTGAGAATATTCTATCTATGCTCTAAGAGAAATTGGTATCGGACTGCTAACAGACATGCAAAATACCTGAGTCTGCATGACAGTTGTTACCTGGGTTAACTGGCTGCTGTACTATATGAATATAGCTAAAAATTAAAATGTAATAAATCCTCCCTCTCACAAAGTTACTAACCTAAGTGAGCGAAGTTATCCCATATAATCTTTCCTCTTGTGAAATTTCGGGCTTTGGAGGCTTTTATATCTCCTGGTTAGGGTTGATATCTCCTGGTTAGGGTTAGGATCTAACAGAAGAACTGTACAGAAGTTTGTGTTAAAGTAGTAACTAAGCAAGATTTAGAAGAGACACAGTAATGTCAGCTTCTAAGGAACTGAATAGGGTTTAGGGAATTCCAATTTTTAGTTCATGATCCATTCTATCAGAGCCAATTTTTATTTCATGATTAGTGATGTCCCGAACTGTTCGCCGAACGGTTTGCCGCGAACGGTTCGCCACGGACGCATCATTGAGTAAACTTTGTACCTCACAGTCAGCAGACACATTCCAGCCAATCAGCAGCAGACCCTCCCTCCCAGACCCTCCCATCTCCTGGACAGCATCCATTGTGAAGCTGCATTCTTAGTGAGCTGTCCAGGAGGTGGGAGAGTCTGGGAGGGAGGGTCTGCTGCTGATTGGCTGGAATGTGTCTGCTGACTGTGAGGTACAGGGTCAAAGTTTACTCAATGATGAGTCCACGGCGAACCGTTCGTGGCGAACCGTTCGGCACATCACTATTCATAAGCCATTCTATCAGAACCTTAATAGTGTTTTTATGTTCTACATTCTTCATATGAGCTTGTATTAAAAAAAAATAATGTTCTATTCTGGTGGGAACTATTAACATTTATGCAATATTATTTATGCCTTTATCATACAAACTCCAACCATATTCCCATCCACTAGTGTGGGCAATTCAGAGTATATGCTAAATAATATTGTATAATATAATGTGATAACAATATTAGAAATAAAATATGAGATGTAAATGGAGGAAAGGGGAAACTTCATACCTCTCAAAGGAGAGAAAAAGAGAAACAGATCATCAGCAGCACGACTGAGCTGGTCATTGTATAACCCCAGCCTCTTGGTTGTACAGTACTTCAGATCAATACCAACACAATCCGCATTTAATATGTTAGTGGAAATGTTGACCTTCTAGATTGCTTGTAGCAGTGTCTGGTATACCAATGTCACAAAGGCTGACTGAAAGTTCATGAGTGGATATTGTTGTGGAAATGGATGCAGGAATAACGTTAACTTTGACTCAATTATTTGTTTCATTATTACAAGCCTACAAGTCTTTGCCAGCTTGCATACATATCTAGATCTTCTTCTACTGGTGAATAAACAACACTACACCTCTGTAAGTATGGATTATATATATTCATTGATGGTTTAGCACTCACCCTTTCTTCCAATGTAAAAATAGAAAATATTGCCCTGGTGCAATTACATATTGAAGATATATATAGCAGAAAAAAAGAGATGCACTCTGTGGTCTTCAATAAGTAAAATGGTGTTTAATTCATATAAGGGGTTACATATGTATCAGATCAACGTTTTGACCCATTCAGGTCTTCCTCAAGGATCTATATGTATTAAATACCATTTTACTTATTGAAGATCACAGAGTGCATCTCTTTTTTCTGGTATATATATATATATATATATATATATATATAAAACTGAGGTTATTTTGAAATATATATATATATATATATATATTATCATTTTAAAATAATTTTATTTTCTATTATATTTTCTATTATTTGGAATGGAGTAATGAAACTTTCTTGCAAAAAAACCCCATGGTTTTACTAGTTCTACAGAACATCTTTGATCCCGGAAGTACTGATATTCATAGACAGTATTTTTCAATCTGGGTAGATATTTTGCTTTTGCTTACCAAATGAAACATGTACCGTATATACTCGTGTATAAGTCGATCTCATGTATAAGTCGAGTGCAGTTTTGTGACCAACAATTGTGAAATATGCTATGCCTCGTGGATAAGTCGAGGGTAAAACTTGGGGCTATGAAATTCTGTGATTTTTATAATTATATACACACACACTCAGACAAACACACACTCTGCATTATATACACACACACTTATACAAACAAACACTCTGCATTATATACACACACACTCATACAAACACACACTCTTTGTATATAATGCAGAGTGTGTATATAATGCAGAGTGTGTGTTTGTGTAGTGTGTGTGAACTAGGTGGGGGGAGGGCATTTTTATTATTTAAATTTTTTTTTAATTTTAATATTATTATTTTTTTATTATTTTAATTTTTTTTTGTCCCCCCTCCCTGCTTGTTAACTGGTCAGGGAGGGGGGCTATCTTAATCCCTGGTGGTCCAGTGGCATGGGCTGTGAAGTGGGGGGGCCGGCAGGAAGCATTTACTTACCTTTCCTGCAGCTCCTGTCAGCTCCCTTCTCCTCCGTTCCGGTCAGCTCCACTGTAAGTCTCGCGGTCTGGTTGCCGCGCGGATCGTTGCCATGGCTCTGACGGCTGTGGCTCTCTAAGTTGCCATAATACAGACAGTGACTCGAGTATAAGTCGAGTGGGGGTTTTTAAGCACAAAAAATGTGCTGAAAAACTAGACTTATACTCGAGTATATACTGTAAGTTTTTGTTAAGCGCATGGAGAAAGTCGGACAGTGTATCAATATGTTTCCGAGAGAACAAATCTAGGTTTGAGTACTCGTACAAAGTAGTTGATGAAAGTGCAAGTGACAAAATTGTGTACACAGAATAGAATGTATGTTACTAAGAAGTATCACCTTACGGTGAAGGATGAGCCTGTAATGATAAGGCCTTGGCTTTATGGTTTCTATGATATTGTTTTCAATATATAGAAGAATTAGTCACCTCCTGAACCTTAGCCAAAGAAAGAATGAAACTTTGAGATTACTCTTTAAAGAACTGTCTGTACCAAATATAGCAGTGAAACATTGTCATGTTTTTGATGTAAACAGTTGCTTTCTGGATCTACACTGTGTTTTTAAGTACCAACCCTGTTCTTCATTCATTAATTGAAATGTTAAATACAAGGTTTATATATACCTTATGATTTCTATCCTAGCAAAGCAATAATAAGAAGCCTACATTTATTTACAAAGCTTCTGGTAAATATATTTACTATGTCGCACTTGTTCATTGATGAAAATATGAAGCCACTGCAATTGGAGAACCTAGGAACTAGTACAATTGTATTTCATTAATGAGTTTTATATGTTCTATCTATACATGATGTGCATTGAGACATCTACAAATAAGCTATCTATATTTGATAGAAGTAAAGTAATTCTTGGATGCCATCTAAATATGCCACAGTCTGGACTCATAATAATTGTCTCCATGGGCACTTGGCATGCCAATTTAGCCATAGTCACATTGTCCTTTGTCAGTTTATGGAAACAATGCCATCTAGTAGAAAAAATGTTTAGATTTACTAACATATTTTTCAGAAACCGAACTATATATTATTATAATTTGTAACATTTATAAACAATGCTATCCATACATGTTTTATGAATCATATCATGACAAGTGCCAATCTACCTGCATCAGTACGTATTTTATTGCACATTTTTCATACATTTATACTTTTCACATTTATTAATACACACTGGCAACTGTTCTCAAATAAATGACACAAAACAGTGAAACAAGCTAAATTCACAAGAAATTATTAGCAACAAAGTAAAACAGTTCAGATAATGTTTTATAATTATAAATTAAATGATTAGCTCAGCAGAGTCAAATATATTTTTCAAATAATATTGTCTCAGATAAAGTTGATTGTTAACTCACTGTTTAGCAAATAAATCCTCTTTGCTTATATCACAAGCTACTTTCAGAAATCTATCTGAATAATACACTCTCAAACGAAATGATTGTTGTTATTTATTTATCAATACATCCTATTGATTCTCATAGATCTCTTTCTAACCCTTTCTAACCTAAGAGAGGTGAGATAGACAAAAGTTAAAAAAAACAAAAAAAAACATAGTGTATTCAAATTGTGCTGATGTGTTGCTTATAGAGAGCCTATTCATCAAAGGTCAGTGTAATCGCTCTTTGGCTTAGTTGAGTTGCACCTCAATTTGTAAATAAAGTAATTAAAATAGTAGCATATACGTTTCATATATTAAATGGTTAGTTACATTATTGTGTGTAGTTTGAATTTTCTGTAGCCTGATTAAATATAAAAAAACTAACATTCCAAGTTTTGTCCTTCATCCATCCGTTACCACAAGAACACATTTCTTTGGAAATTAAATTATAAAATAAAAAATAAAGAGGCTTATTTACTAGAGTTAGAATTGCCTGGAATTCAAAGAGAATTTTAAATTTAAAGCCAAAATAGCCAATCTAAAAAAAGGATTTGACCTAAATATTTTTTATAATCCAGCAATATTGGCCAAAATTTTACTTTGAATTCACATAAATTCCCATTTTAGTGAATGACCATGTATATTGTAACATCTAAGTTAGATTAATTAAACTTTAATAAATATTATGATGAACCTGATTTATCATTTTTTTTGTCTGACTACTCCTATTTAAAAATGTACATAAAGCAGAGTATACATCAATTATTTATATACATGTACTAAACATATGTATTTATTTAGCATTATAGAACTGTTTAAAATATTGCATAACTATAACATAAAGGCTAATTTTTGTGTGCAATGAGAAAATGAATATGCATTATTCACACATACACACTCACACCTGTGCATGACACATTATGAGAATGAAAAACCCCTTCACTGTCAAACACTTAAACATACCTATTACCAAACATGAGAAAAATGCTAAGATTTAATATGTGCCACTAAACCATTCCTTATTTTTTTACCCCTTCACTGCCAAATTATTTTTAACAAAATTTAAATGAACACTAAATCAATTAATTGTATTTATTCTTTTTTTTTATTCTTTTCAACATTTCAAGATATAATGGAAGGTTCAAATACTATAGATCGGGCGTGGTTTGGCACACATTGACAATGGCCACCTGAATCAGTTGCTCTCCCGATCAGGGTTGTAAACCATGGCTACCACAGCTTTTGAACTTAGTTTTTTTTTATGCCCATTTGACTTCCTCCATTGGCTGGAACAAAGGGGAAGCATTTTCAGTTTAAATTAAATACCTACCTAATGCCAAAGGCCCATAAATCTAAAAGAAAAGGTGTGGAGGATTCACCCTAGTTGACTCACCTTGAGGCCTAGACAGCATGGTGAAGACTACGCTCTCAGCTATGGCTCTCCTTAACGCACAGGTATTTACAGATAGAATAAGGCACAATATGTAACACCTTAGGGGGATCTCCATAACAATTTTCCTAATATCACTTCTAAGCTTACCAAATCACTAAATGACTTGGGCAAAGGCATGAATACATTTTAATCCAAAGTAGATGATATCATTGGGTCCCATAACCTGCTAGCAGATAGTGATTCTGCTGTGGCACCTGAAGAAAAATTGCCAACATCACAACAGGTCGTGCAGAAATAATATATGCATTAAGAGTATTCCAGAGAGGGGTCCCCAACAGTGAGCTGGAGAAATTATCACACCTGGTGCCAGATCTGACCAGCTCTAAATTCATCTTAGATCAC